GGCATTTTCAGAATATATCTGCGAGACAAAATGACAATGGAAAGAACCTATGTAAGTAAAGAAGTAGTAAATGGAAGTAAAAAATCTTTCAGCTTTCTTCTATCAGATCATGCTTCTGCTAGAGTGGATTAGACCTCAGACAGAAAAAGAAGAGCCTTTCAGGCAGCCTGTTTGTCCCATGGCCCAGTGCTAATGGACAGGCTAAGATGGGCTGTAATCCTTACATGGGTGGGTAAATAATCCAGGCCTGCTCTTTCCTATGCAGAGCAGGTCTAGACCGCTTTAGCACCTATTTAAACTGTGTAATGTGACTCAGAGGAGGGACAAGCACTAAAATCCTCCTTTAGTAAACAACTAGACACAAAATCCATGTAATCTAAAGGAAACCAGGGCTGAGGTGTAGAGAAGTAAAATCCCTAAAACATTTAATGCTGTGCTCAGTAGCTTGCTTGGTGTCTTTTAAGGTGATGGAAAGTGTGTGTGTGTGTGTGTGTGTGTGTGTGTGTGTGTGTGTGTGTGTGTGTGTGTGTGTGTGTGTTAGTGGGTGAATTGTGGGAGGAGCAGAGAAGGTGAGGAACTCATCAGAAACCTGTTTGAATCTGACCTTTCTCCTTTAATGAAATGTCGTAACGATAAAAGACGAGAAGTGTGTGTGTGTGTGTGTGTGTCAACATAGGGCCTGTTTGTTAGTTTCAAGAGAATGTGGGCCTAGTTGTGTACGTTTTCCACCTTTTCCCTCCTTTTTCTCTGTCTTTCTCGATGTAATGAAAGGTTGGAGATGCTGAAGCTCCATCTCTCATCACTATTCAATGCTCAGCTCCATCGCAGATGCCTGGAGACCAGGACTCCTGCCAGACTGTCAGGCTAATTACATTCAGTCCTTTCACACTGTTCAGAGTAGTGTTTGATAATTAACATTTTCTGAGAAGTAGAAGAAAATACAACATTGATACTGATAGTTGATCTCTAGTTGCATGTTGTCAACTTAAAAAAGGGATGCCGTTTAGGAATATATTGGAGTTTTAGTAAATTGTGCTTAAAATAACCTTTTTTGTTAATTTGTAAAGCTTTTTAATGACCTAAATAACCATTTTCCACTATAAAGAGCCATTATGGAATGATAAAGTTTCATGGATGATAAAAGTTCTTTGTTGAACCATCATTGTCAATAAAGATCCTTTATTTTTAGACTTGTTATTTAACGCTTTAATTGAAAATATTTATAATGTCTCCTATTTAAAATTTTCAAGTCATTTTTCTTGAACTTTAACCAAAATTTTGTAAGTTTTTTTTTAGGCTATGAGCGTAAAGACAAGAACAAGTGTCTGTTGAAAGATAAAGCTGGAAGAAGAAAGAAGGCCCTTGTGTTTTTCGCAGTCGTCGCTGTCTCTCATCTCATCGTCTTGTTGTCTCGCTTGCGTCACATGGTGGGTCTGACCATCTATTTTTAGATTTGCAAAACAGTTTTGTATTGGTTCTTTTTTGTGTGATTTTCAAGATTAGATTGATTGAGAATATACATTATGATATATTTATTGCACCTTTTTACTTGATAGTGTCTTTAGCATGTAACTATTTTTTGCTGTGCTTTAGGACACCTAGGAGTAGGGCTGCACGATTCTGGCTTAAATGAGAATCTTTATTTTAAGCAAAACTTCTACTGTTGATTAAAATGCTAAATTTTGTATAGACCTGGAACCGTGTACATTAATAGACTTGTTCTGGTCCACAGTAAAGTGATTACATCAGAATACTACTATTCTCTCTTGTAAACAGTGTGTCAGCTCACATGTAATTTTGCCGTTACATGAAGACAGAAATAACATTTTTTGGTGAATCATTGACCTTATAAATACAATATGCTGACTCTTTCAACACCATTTGGAGGTGTGAAGACTTGTAAAACAGCCCATCTGCTTCTCTCCTGAGCTTGAAAATATGATTGGCTGAATCGTAGAGATGCTGGATTAAGATTGTGTGGGGGGAAGAATCAAGATCACAATCTTTATTCAATTAATTGTGCAGCCCTGCCTAAGAGCCTCTAAAAGCCTTTTTTGGTGCTAAATAGATGCAGACACATTTCGTCAGTCGGTCAGCAGTCTGGGCCAGCTAACGCTCTAGGAATCTCCTGCGCGCTCAGGGCAACAAACCCACTGAACCAACAAACCCCCCAAAATCTACAGCATGGAGATTCAGGTTAAATAACATTCATTTTGAGATTTCTGAAAGGTGTTCTTATTATATCTGTTAGTGTATATTTGACATGTTATGATGCAACAGATGTTCATGATTTGTCCCCATATGGCTTCTAAACTTAGTTTTACCATCATCCATGAGTTTCCCTTGTACAAACAGAGATCCTATAGGACACAGTGGAGGATTGCTGACTCAAGTTGAAACAATCTTGCCTCAAAGGTAAGACCCTTGAGAAAAGCACTGAACCTATAACTGCTGTAATGGCTGTGTGTGTGTGTGTGTGTGTGTGTGTGTGTGTGTGTGTGTGTGTGTGTGTGTGTGTGTGTGTGTGTGTGTGTGTGTGTGTGTGTGTGTGTGTGTGTGTGTGTGTGTGTGTGTGTGTGTGTGTGTGTGTGTGTGTGTGTGTACTACAATACATGAACACATGTCACTCATACTCAAAAAAACAGTCAAATTAAAATACGGTCATCGTTTATCCTCATCTCATTCCAAACCTATAAGACTATTGTTCTTATTTAAAATTCAGATAAAGATAATGTTAGTCAATTCTGGGAGATCTCTGTCCCTCCACTGAAAGAGTTTTTGTCTGAAGCTTTGTCACCAAATCATCCATTTAGAGATCAAAAAATATATCCATATCGATTGAACCATTAGAGTCTTCTAGAGAGACATGATTATTTTATACAATGAACAATTTTATTTTAGGCTTATAAATGGTGAAATGGCAAACAATGTTTTAGGCGTTTCAATTTGTGAATAATTTTTTAACAGGCTTTAATGTTTTTTTAGAACAGGGGTTTTCAGGTTGGGGTCTGGGCAACCCTTTAGGGGGCCACAAGGCAGTGCCAGTGAAAATATTGAGGGAACATGTTAATGTAACAAGTAATTTTAAAATAAATTATCCAAATTTTTATTAGGATAAATACACATGCATTAGTTAAAAGACATCTAAATACAAAATGGAATAAAAACAATTTAATTCTAAAATTAATAAATATAAATAATACAATTGATCAGAATTTGATTACAATAAATAAATCAATTAAATTGTTATTTAATATATTTAATAAAACAAACGAATGGATCCAGAAAAGATTTGACAAAAATATCTATATTTCTATCCTTTTACAATGTAGAAAATGCTAAACAGTTGTCAGCCACAGGTTTAGAACACAAAGTACTTTCTAATATTAAAAACTTTTATAGGTTTGAAATGTGTTAACAATTTCAATTCTAATTTTAGTAACATGCATGACTTTCTGTAGGATTTTTTCGAACCAAAAAAGTCAGGTTAGTCTGATTTTTGGTAATGAACTGACCATGTTTGTTTTAGTGAGTATGAGTTCTCATCTTCATGCATGGCTGCAGACCCTGAGGGTCAAAATCACTTCAAGCGCTGTCATTAAGAGTTTGTTGATGAAATCAGCTGATGCATGTTTCTAAAAGGATGTGCATTCAGTTGCATAATTCATGTTCTAATCTTTACTTTTTTACTCTTATAAAATCACAATTATGTTCTACATGATGATAAACCATGCAAATACACACTGTAAAACCCAGTCAAAAAGTAAAAAACAATCAACTTTAATAAATGAAATGAGTGTAGTAAACTCAAAATTTACAGAAAGATAATTCTATTAATTTGAAAAGAGTTTTGAACTATTGAAGAAGAATTGTTGAAGGCAATGAGTTTAGTAAATACCTCATTACTTTAACTTAAATGGAGGTACTCGCACCACGAATCACAGTACTTGTATGGATTTGTTTTACTCAAATGGTTTGAGTTGCCTTAACTTATTAGATTTTACAGTACTTAGTTGGTTTGAGTTCTCTTCATTTATTGGCTTGTACTGTGCTCAAATTGCTTCAGTTACTCAAATGGATTAAGTTCACAGTAAACATTAGGGTTAGTTTTTGAACTTGCTGTTAATGGTTTGTTGCAGTCAGTTTCCTCAATTGGTTTGAGTTACCTTAACTTTTTGTGTTTTACAGTGCAGGCTTGCATGGAAAGCAAGCCTCCAGGATAAATGCATAAAAAGGTCATTTAGATTTTATTTTGTTATCTTACAACAATTTAGAGTTTTAATTTCACTATTTATACTTTGATAAAAAGCAGTTCCTCACAGTAAAAAAAACAAAAAGCAAATTATGCAAGATATAAACTTGGAAGTGCCATAAAAAATCTGAATTTGAGCTTATCTCCTATAGTTCTGATTCTCTTTAATTGTTTTAGTTTATAACTTGCAACTGCAAGAAGAAAGCAGAGCAGTGTGATCTAAAACTTTTTCATGGCAGTAACATTAATTCATGAGTTTGACTATATGGATGAGCCTGCATAATAATTGTAATACTAATTAAGATAGACTATTGTTGAATAAAAACACTGAAACTGGTACAAATGATTTCTTATTTCAGTTCAACCTACACTTAAGGGACTCTATATCTCCTAGAGGGAAGCGGTTTATGATATGGAAACAAAAAATGAGTTGCATCATTCAGAATCCTAATTTAGGACACAATTCTCATAGTGATTTAGTGATATCAACAGGTGTGTGGAAGGATTTGCTTTCAGGGTAGAGTGAATGACCACTTTCAGATAAACACATAAAACAGGCATAAATAAAACAAACACATTAATAAAAATGACAGCCAGCATGTTGTTGTGGACACTGAAGCATCAAGAGCTACAGCAAATGTTCCTGACAGTAGTCCTTTGCTCAGAATGTTGGTGACCTATGTGTAGTGAGCCTACTAAGTGTGTATATGCTTTGTGTTTTTATGTGTGTGTGTGTGTGTGTGTGTGTGTGTGTGTGTGTGTGTGTGTGTGTGTGTGTGTGTGTGTGTGTGTGTGTGTGTGAGAACCATGTTGGAGCGCTTTAGCGAAGCAGCGTAGCGTGCAGTACAGGAGTGATGTGGGCTGAGCCGACCTGACCGAGCCCCGGCCCTCCGCTAATCCTGCCGTTTTCAGGAGCCCTGGCCCGTACTTGATGAGCTTGGGTAAGAAAAGGGGCAGCTCTTTCTCCCGTTCGCTTTTCCCTCTTTCGCTCCCTCTCGCTCTTTCATTCTCTCTCTCTTTTTCTCATGCACCCCCCTCTCGAACCCCAGCCCTGCCTGGAGCCAGTGTGCAAATGAATGAGTTCCAAGTGTTTACTCAGCAGTTCTGTCCCTCTCTCTCTCTCTACCTATTCCTTCACATCTCTCTCTCTCTCTGTCTGTCTGCTCTGACAGATTGAGCTGAATTTAAAATAACTTCTAACATGAAATTCAGCTAGATGACAAGGTTACAGCTAGATGTATTTATTTTCTGTAGTTGCTGTGTTTGGAACACCCAGGGTTAAAGTTTTATAAAAGGTATATTTGAAGGTAAAAGGGTGTAAAAATACTACTGTAAAAACCCGTTAGTTGTTAATAATTTATTGTAGAATTTTATTATTATATACAGTGAAAACCTGAACTAATGGGAGATTTCATATCATTTTACAGAACTGTTAAATATATTGCATTTGAAGTGAAACAGAACACATTGATTTACATTGAAATAAATACACTATACCTTTTCAGTGGGTATACACGTAAAACCCAACAATGACTTTTATCAAATGAAATGAGTGTAGTTAACTCAGAATTGACTGAAAGTTAATTCTACTCATTTGAAAAAGAGTTTTGAACTCCGTGTTGAAGGTAATGAGTTAATTAAATACTTAATTACTTCAACTTAAATGGAGTAAGTTCACAGTACTCGTATAGATTAGATGTTAACTCAAATGTTTGTAGCAATCGGTTTCCTCAAATGGTTTGAGTTGCCTTAACTTACTGGGTTTTACAGAACTCAGTTGGTTTGAGTTCACTTCATTTCTTTGGTTTTACTGTGCTTAAATTGCTTCGTTTACTCTAATGAATCAAGTTCACAGTACTCATTAGGATTAGTTTTTGAACTTAAATGGTTCGTTGCAATCGGTTTCCTCAAATGGTTAGAGTTACCTTAACTTTTTGTGTTTTACAGTGGATAGATGGCTCACAACATTTTTAAAATTGAATTTATTTACTTTTTTTGTCATCATTTATGTATGTTAGGGTTTTATATGGCATATTGTTCACTTATGTTTATGCATTTTTGTGTGTTGTGTTCTGCCATGATGATATTTTGTGTGTGTTTGATACACATTATATGGACCATTTGCACATGGTAATTATTATGTACTTTAGGTTACAGTAATGTGTTGGACTGGTTTAATATGAGACTTTTTTCTGGCATTTTTCTTTTTAAGGTGATCTCAAGTCTGTTATAGTCTGTGAATTTTAATAATTTGTTTATTAATGCTGTTTTTTAAGGATTTGTTGTTGTTGCTTCCAAACCTCTATGATAAAGCAACCAAATAGCTGCCTTTATTTATTTATTAAGTATTTTTTTAAGAATGATGACAAATGCTCATTTCACAAACCACTTTCACTAAGAAATTAAATGATTGTTTTTTTTTTTATATTGGATTTATGTGCAAATATGCATAATTGAATGTGCCTAATGCAGTGGCTTTCATACATTTTAAGTCTTAAATGGACAGTTCACCAACTCATCACTAACTCATGTCTTTGCACAATAAACATGGGTGAAATAGTTTTCCAAAACATGCAGTTTTTTTGTTTAATATAACATTTAGTTTAAAAGCCATTCAAAAATCATGTTAAAATGAATAGTCGTTCATTTAGTCAGTCTAAGACAGAGATGCTCAAACTAGGGCCTGCAGCATAAAGTTGGCCCATGGTAACCTTTGATTTGGCCCTCCATCCCATCTGTGAAGAGACAAAGAAGAATAGTTTAGACGTGGACATTTCTAATTTAATACAACCTTTTATGTGTTTATTTCATTGTTTAACTACAGAAAATCAGCTAACTGAAATTAAATGTTTCAATTCAAATGCTGTAATTCACTTTAACATGTACATGTTTAATAAATATATTAAAACATAACAGTTCAATATCATGTTTAATAATAGTCATCACAGCATGCAAAAAAAGTTTCATTACATTAAGTTTCTTTTTATTTCTGAAACCTTACTGACCCCTTTATAAAAGAAAAAAAGTTAAAAGTTAGTATATAAGAATTGGTCATTTTTCTGAGTGCAATATCTTTAAGCATCCAACTAAAATGTTTCCAGTGACTTTAATTTCATTTCATTTTCCTTGAGAATGCATCTAAATCAAAGGGAAACATGAATTTAATCCAGTATGACCTCAAACAAGACCATTATATCATGCATCATTATATTCACCTTTATACCACATTGTTTAAAAGTTAATTAAGGCACATTGGCATCATTACATCGCTTTATGTGTATGTATGTATGTGCATGCAGGCATGTGTGTGTGTCTGATAAGAGAGTAATATGATGGGGATTACGGTGAGATGGCCGGCCTGGGGCTGCTGGATATTGGGAGGAGGGGCTGTTTCCTGGCTGTAGCCCTTGTTTGTCTGCCTGACCTGGCAGCACTCGGGGCAGATCCTGCTTGGATACAACTCTGATCCCACGCCTGTCTGAAGCTGTTAGCCAGCCGCTCTGTCGGGCTAGCTGGGCTTAGTGCGTCTGGGCACAGGGAGGGGCATAAGCTGGGGCCGCCGCATGCTTTGTGCTTGGGCAGGGGTGAATGCTGTTCTGGCTCATGACTCTGGTCTTATTCATCCCACCATTTCTTTCTTATCAGTCAGAGCTCAGTACTGTCTGTCCCTATGTTCTCCTCTCTAGTTTTACATCACTTTTTTTTTAGCTTGGTGTAATCCAAACATGCATTTCAAATCAGCTGAATGTTTGGAAAAGTTACTTTCGGGGTGACTTTCTACCTTTTGACCTTCTAGTAGATCCTTGTGTTGAAAAGCAAAGCCCTTGTAATTCCCTAATAGGTTTAACTATTCATTTTCAGCTAAAGAGAATTTGTGCATGATGCTGTTGTCTTTCTGCAATTTGATCAGGGAAAGCCTGTGATGTGATGCCGTATTGGCGACCGCCGTTCTGTAGTTTCAATCTAGAGAATAAAAATAAACCAGTAGTATTTACTTAAGATTCTGTAAAGCTTTCACAGCTCAATTGCTGTTTTTAAAGGCTTGTTGTTATTTTTCAATTGGTGGATTGAGAGGTAGTTTGGGAAGTCTGTTATGGCCTTTCTGTGTGTTGTTTCTGTCCTGGATACACAGTGAGTCCTGGGCAAACTATGAGATGGACAGAGCGAGAGAGAGCGAGAGATCAAAGATAGAGTTTGACTGAGCGGCTGCTGTTTTATTTTCTGTTGATAGTTTCTGTGCTGTTAAGTTTTACCTTGTTCAATTGTAGATTGAATTTGTTGGTTGGCGTTTTAGGTCAACTCAAAATTATGCAAAAGTGGCAAACTGCTAAGTAAGGTTTATTGCATTTTGGAGCACTTTATTAGTAAAATGTAAATATAAAACTAGATTCTAAGATGTTAAGAACATGGGATCATAACAATGATTGTTTTTATATTAAACAAACAAAAAAATGGTCAGGGATTAAAATGTTTCTTTTTTGTTTCAATGAGTTCACTTTTAAAACTAGTGCTTTTTTAAAATGGGATTTGACAAGGATACAATATAAGGACTGTTTTGGTTCCCCAAAGAACTTTTCAGTTAAAAGATCTAAAAAAAAACCCTTATTTGTTAGCATGAAGAACATTTGAATTAATTAAAGCACCTTTTTTTAGTTTTAAACAAACTTTAGAATTAGAAGCGGTTCAGATTTGATAGGCTTAAGACTCTTTGTGGAATGATTAATACTTAAAAATAACCTTTATTTTTATCAAATTAAAAATTTTTGTTCTTTAGTGTTTGGACTTGCAGCAATGAAAATTAAACCACACTGAACTAAACTGAAGTTTAACTCTGAAAACTGGACTGCCACAGTTTCAATTTACAAGAACTTCTATGTTAAGCTGCTTTGACGCAATCTACATTGTAAAAGCGCAGTAGAAATAAAGATGAATTAAGTTGAATTAAATTTAATTTAATTAATAGTGTGATATAAAGAAAGACCTTCTCATTGAGACTAGTCAAAACACAATTTTGAGACAGATATTTAACCTCCACCTCTCCAACCTTTTCTGCCTAATCCTTTCACTTTTAAGACCCCCAAAGTCAGAGGAGGAAGCCATTATGTAAGCCACTTTGCCTTATCTGATATCTAACTATGTATATTCCATTTAAGCTCACAAGTCAGTAGTGCTTCCATTGTGTTTATGCTTGAATGACAAAATAGGCAACTGTTGATGGCATTGCATGTTTTAAAGTATATATTTCTAATTGTTTTTTTTTTTCTAAATAAAATAATATAATTAAGTATTCAAAGTTTTCTTTAGAATACTTAATTTTGTTGGTCACCTTTAGACTTTCAGCTTAGCTGTAGTTCATGGCAACAAGTTGTTGGAGTAGATGTTTGCTTGTTTATTTATTTATTTTTTGCTATTTTAATGCTTTCTAAAAGACATTCTACTGTGTAATAATAATTTAAAAGTATTTTTTTAACATGTCAGCTCTTACAAATCAAGGTTCTGATGATTCCATAAAGAACCTTTTTCTTTACAAAGAACCTTACCAAGTTTCTGTAGTAAAAAACAATTCATTAGATATTTAAATAAAAGTTCAAATAGTAGTTCTTAAAACGAAGCTGCATTAAAGAACTGTTCACAAAGTTTTTTGATGAACCAAAATAGGTTCTGTTATGGTATCTCTGCAAATCAAACTAACCAACTAAAGGAATAACGAACTAAATAAAAACAAAGAAATTAAAAGGGAAAAAATGTATAGCGACCGTTATCTAGAATTTTATTTAAATAGTTTCTATGTAATTTATTCTTAACTTTTGGTATGTGGATTATAATCAGGTTAACCAACAACATCAAACGCTGATTTTTCTGTTCTTGCATTCTTTGTTAGTGAGGGGAGAACTGTGTCACCCAGTCAATCGTCACGAGGCGACCTGTGTCGTCACACTGC